TTGATTCACCGGGCATGGAGTTACTTGGCTGCCCCGTATTATCAAGCATATCAGAGCCCCAAACTTCCCTTGAAGGAGTGGCGTTGAACGCAAGAATGACTCATCGTTCACTGCCAAGCAACAAACATCCCGAATCACCAGATATGGAGTTACAAGGATTCCCCACATTATCAAGCATATCAGAGCCCCACACTTCCCTTGAAAGAATGAGGTTGAATACAAGACTGACTCATCGACTCGTTCACTGCCACGCAACACACATCCCGAATCACCGGGCATGGAGTCACTTGGCTGCCCCACATTATCAAGCATATCAGAGCCCCACACTTCCCTTGAAGGAGTGAGGTTGCACGCAAGGATGACCCATCGTTCACTGCCAAGCAACACACATCCCGAATCACCAGGCATGGAGTCACTTGGCTGCCCCGTATTATCAAGCATATCAGAGCCCCACACTTCCCTGGAAGGAGTGAGGTTGAACGCAAGAATGACTCATCGTTCACTGCCAAGCAACACCGATCCCGATTCACCAGGTATGGAGTTACAAGGATTCCCCATATTATCAAGCATATCAGAGCCCCACACTACACTTGAAGGAGTGAGGTTGAATACAAAACTGACTCATCGACTCGTTCACTGCAAAGCAACACATATCCCGAATCACCGAGCATGGAGTCACTTGGCTGCCCCGCATTATCAAGCATATCAGAGCCCCACACCTCCCTTGAAGGAGTGAGGTTGAACGCAAGGATGACCCATCGTTCACTGCCAAGCAACACACATCCCAAATCACCGGGCATGGAGTCACTTGCCTGCCTCGCATTATCAAGCATTACAGAGCACCACACTGCCGTGAAGGAGTGAGGTTGAATGCAAGACTGACTCATCAACTCGTTCATTGCCAAGCAACTCACATCTTGATTCACCGGGCATGGAGTCACTTGGCTGCCCCGTATTATCAAGCATTTTAGAGCCCCACACTTCCCTTGAAGGAGTGACGTTGAATGCAAGAATGACTCACCGTTCAGTGCCAAGCAACACACATCCCGAATCACCAGGTATGGAGTTACAAGGATTCCCCACATTATCAAGCATATCAGAGCCCCACACTTCCCTTGAAGGAGTGAGGTTGAATACAAGACTGACTCATCGACTCGTTCACTGCCACGCAACACACATCCCGAATCACCGGGCATGGAGTCACTTGGCTGCCCCAGATTATCAAGCATATCAGAGCCCCACACTTCCCTTGAAGGAGTGAGGTTGAACGCAAGGATGACCCATCGTTCACTGCCAAGCAACACACATCCCAAATAACCGGGCATGGAGTCACTTGCCTGCCCCGCATTATCAAGCATTACAGAGCACCACACTGCCGTGAAGGAGTGAGGTTGAATGCAAGACTGACTCATCAACTCGTTCATTGCCAAGGAACACACATCTTGATTCACCGGGCTTGGAGTCACTTGGCTGCCCCACATTATCAAGCATATCAGAGCCCCACAATTCCCTTGAAGGAATGAGGTGTGAAAGCAAGAATGACTCATCGTTCAGTGCCAAGCAACACACATCCCGAATCAACAGGTATGGAGTTACAAGACTTTCCCACATTATCAAGCATATCAGAGCTCCACACTTCACGTGAAAGAGTGAGGTTGAATGCAAGACTGACTCAACGACTCGTTCAGTGCCAAACAACACACATCCCGAATCACCGGGCATCGAGTTAATTGGTTGCCCCACATTATCAAGCATATCAGAGCCCCACACTTCCCTTGAAGGAGTGAGGTTGAAAGAAAGAATGACTCATCGTTCACTGCCAAAGTAACACACATCCCGAATCACAAGGTATGGTGTTACAAAGCTTCCCCACGTTATCAAGCATATCAGAGCCCCACAATTCCCTTGAAGGAGTGAGGTTGAATACAAGACTGACTCGTCGACCCGTTCACTGCCAAGCAACACACATGCCGAGTCACCGGGCATGGAGTCACTTGGCTGCCCAACATTATCAAGCATATCAGAGCCCCACACTTCCCTTGAAGGAGTGAGGTTGAACGCAAGAATGACTCATCGTTCACTGCCCAGCAACACACATCCCGAATCACCAGGTAGGGAGTTACAAGGCTTCCCCACATTATCAAGCATTTCAGAGCCCCACACTTCCCTGGAAGGAGTGAGGTTGAATACAAGACTGACTCATCGACTCGTTCACTACCACGCAACACACATCCCGAATCACCGGGCATGGAGTCATTTGGCTGCCCCACATTATCAAGCATATCAAAGCCCCACACTTCCCTTGAAAGAGTGAGGTTGAACGCAAGAATGACTCATCGTTCACTGCCAAGCAACACACATCCCGAATCACCATGTATAAAGTTACAATGCTTCACCACATTATCAAGCATATCAGAGCCCCACACTTCCCTTGAAGGAGTGAGGTTGAATACAAGACTGACTCATCGACTCGTTCAATGCCAAGCAAAACACATGCCGAGTCACCGGGCATGGAGTCACTTACCTGCGCCGCATTATCAAGCATATCAGAGCCCCACACTTCCCTTGAAGGAGTGAGGTTGAACGCAAGAATGACTCATCGTTCACTGCCAAGCAACACACATCCCAATCAACAGGTATGGAGTTACAAGACTTCCCCACATTATCAAGCATATCAGAGCCCCACACTTCCCTTGAAGGAGTGAGGTTGAATACAAGACTGACTCATCGACTCGTTCAATGCCAAGCAAAACACATGCCGAGTCACCGGGCATGGAGTCACTTAGCTGCGCCGCATTATCAAGCATATCAGAGCCCCACACTTCCCTTGAAGGAGTGAGGTTGAACGCAAGAATGACTCACCGTTCACTGTCAAGCAACACACATCCCGAAACACCGGGTATATAGTTACAAGACTTCCTCGCATTATCAAGCATTACAGAGCCCCACACTTCCCTTGAAGGAGTGAGGTTGGATGCAAGGCTGACTTATCGACTCGTTCATTGCCAAGCGACACACAACCCGAATCACAGGGCATGGAGTAACTTGGCTGCCCCGCATTATCAAGCATATCAGAGCCCCACACTTCCCTTGAAGGAGTGAGGTTGAACACAAGAATGACTCATCGTTCACTGCCAAGCAACACACATCCCGAATCACCAGGTATGGAGTTACAAGACTTCCCCACATTACCAAGCATATCAGAGCCCCACAAGTCCAGTGAAAGAGTGAGGTTGAATGGAAGACTGACTCAACGACTCGTTTACTGCCAAACAACACACATCCCGAATCACAGGGCATAGAGTCAATTGGCTGCCCCACGTTATCAAGCATATCAGAGCCCCACACTTCTCTTGAAGGAGTGACGGTGAACGCAAGAATGACCCTTCGTTCACTGGCAAGCAACACACATCCCGAATACCCATGTATGCAGTTACAAGGCTTCCCAGCATTATCAAGCATATCAGAGCCTCACACTTCCCTTGAAGGAGTGAGGTTGAATACAAGACTGACTCATCGACTCCTTCACTGCCAAGCAACACACATCCTGAATCACCGGGCATGGAGTCACTTGGATGCGCCGCATTATCAAGCATATCAGAGCCCCACACTTCCCTTGAAGGAGGGAGGGTGAACGCAAGAGTGACTCATCGTTCACTGCCAAGCAACACATCCCGAAATACCAGGTATGGAGTTACAAGGCTTCCCCACATTATCAAGCATATCAGAGCCCTACACTTCCCTTGAAGGAGTGAGGTTGAATACAAGACTGACTTCTCGACTCCTACACTGCCAAGCAACACACATCCCGAATCACCGGGCATGGAGTCACTTGGCTGCCCCACATTATCAAGCGTATCAGATCCCACACTTCCCTTGAAGGAGTGAGGTTGAACGCAAGAATGACTCATTGTTCACTGCCAAGCAACACACATCCCGAATTACCAGGTATGGAGTTACAAGACTTCCCCACATTATCAAGCATATCAGAGCCCCACACTTCCCGTGAAGGAGTGAGGTTGAATGCAAGATTGACTCATCGACTCGTTCACTGCCAAGCAACACACATCCCGAATCACCGGGCATGGAGTCACTTGGCTGCCCCGCATTATCAAACATATCAGAGCCCCACACTTCCCTTGAAGGAGTGAGGTTGAACGCAAGAATGACTCAACCTTCACTGCCAAGCAACACACATCCCGAATCACCAGGTATGGAGTTACAAGGCTTCCCCACATTATCAAGCGTATCAGAGCCCTGCACTTCCCTTGAAGGAGTGAGGTTGAATACAAGACTGACTCATCGACTCGTTCACTGCCAAGCAACACACATCCCGAATCACCGGGCATGGAGTCACTTGGCTGCCCCACATTATCAAGCGTATCAGATCCCCACACTTCCCTTGAAGGAGTGAGGTTGAACGCAAGAATGACTCAATCGTCACTGCCAAGCAACACACATGCCGAGTCACCGGGCATGGAGTTACAAGGCTTCCCCACATTATCAAGCATATCAGAGCCCCACACTTCCCTTGAAGGAGTGAGGTTGAATACAAGACTGACTCATCGACTCGTTCACTGCCAAGCAACACACATCCCGAATCACCGGGCATGGAGTCACTTGGCTGCCCGCATTATCAAGCATTACAGAGCACCACACTCCCGTGAAGACGTGAGGTTGAATGCAAGACTGACTGATCAACTCGTTCACTGCCAAGCAACACATATCGCAAGTAAACGGGCGTGGAATCATTTGGCTGCCCCACATTATCAAATAATCAAATTCCCACACTTCCCTTGAAGGAGTGAGGTTGAATGCAAGACTGACTGATCGACTTGTTCAATGCAAGACTAAATTACCGTTCAATTCGCAGCAACGAACACTCCGAATCACCAGGTTTGTAGTTACTAGGCATGCCCCATCGTTTACACGGTACTAGGTCAAGAACGTTTAGAATACGGGAACAAATATTTCCATGATTTCCAATATGGGCGACTTACCTTTTTTTGCGCTCCACATTTTGCTATCGGTTGATGTCTTCACTTCATCCTATTCTTCCAAATTTGTTCACGGGCTAATGGGGTTCCGTTTTCCGTGAAGGACTTCTTTCGACAGTCCTAGTGTAGTTATTGCTGAACTAATCAAATTCTACGATCCATTCAAGCGGCAGCTAGCTGTCGCATGGAAGCAGGCTCTCACTTTGACACAAAAAAAAGAGGACAGTTTGTTTGAAGCAAACCCAGGCGCTAGGACAGACGCCGGAGATGCAGTTCTCATGATTGTGAGACGCATGCGTGCTGAGTCGGTGTTGTACCATTATTTTCCCCGCCGCGCGTAAACCAGTTGAAACCAGTGCAACACATGCAGGGAGCGGTTGTAGCTGCATGGTGAACTAACTAAGTTACTTACTATGATTGTGACGTACATGTATGTAAACCTAATTATTGTGGAACTGGATGGAACTGGTTAGAACCTGATTAAAGTGGTTGGAACTGGATGAAACCGGTTGGAACTGGATGTAACTCTGGGTCCGGAACTTACTTACTTGACCTGGCCTGGAGTGCTGGACTCAGTTCTCTTCGCGCTCCGCTTGCATGGTTACCATGGTTACGCTGGCCTAAATCATGCAATTTTCTGTTTTGCCAGCACTGGCAGCAGTAATCTACTGAGTAGGTCTACTGGCAGTAGACTACGACTACGATTAGGGGCGCGTTCGAGGAGTTTCGTTTTCTGAAGAGGTGTCTGAAGAGGTGCTCTCTTCAGAAAAACGAAGCTCCTCGAAACTCCTCGAAACTCCACAATCTCATCCGATGGGAGAGGTGGATTAGTTTCGAAGAGTTTGGAATAGGTAGCTACGTCACGTGGTACGTGGAGATGGTAGATCTGATCGGACGTCATCATCGCCATGACAATTCCACTGAAAAACTCTAAAATGATAGAAATCGTTCTAATGCAGTAAGGCCACTAAGGGGGACACATCAACTAATCTTTTTATAAAATTTGTTTGAACAGTTGATGAAGACGCGCCCTAGATCTACTACTACGTGTACATGTAGGTGGAATCCTGATAATTCGAACCTCAAAATGCTAGGAAAAAACTTCTAATTACCCGGACATTCTAATGATCGAAATATGAACCCACAACACAATAATTATATGTACATGTATGTCAAAATGCTCTCGTGGTCATGTACTATATAAAGTAGTGTACTACAGACGGCGTGTGCACTTAGCGGGCACAGTCTGTGTGACCATGGTGACACCTAGCCATCACTACACAGTAGATCTACACTACACAGACAGTGACCGTGACCATGGTGACAGAGTCAGTAGATCTACACACTACACTACGGTCTGTAGAGTGTAGTGTAGTCTGTAGATCTACACTACAGTACAGACGGGTGCGCGACGCAGGCAAAAACTGTCATGTAAGTGTAAGCTGCAAGCCTACATGTGGGGGCATGAATCGCTAGCCTGGTTCTGGCCCTGGGATCTGGCCTTCTCTTCCAGGAGCGGAAGTCAAAACTCAAAGTCCTAGATCCTACCGTGTTGCAGACAGTTAGTTAGTACAGTGCAGTGTGACTAAACTCTAAAGTAAAGCCTGAATGAACCAAGCCCAACACTGCACCAGGTCACGGCGGTGACCTCGCAGCTAGCTGCACTTAGGCTGCGGGACATGCGGAAGCGTAGATCTGCGCACTGCCTGACACACACTGACAGTGACAGACACTGAGACAGTCTGTAATCATTGTACCGCGTACCGGTATGCTACATGCAGTAGTACAATGCTTTAGCTCTGCGGCCAGTCACACACACTGTGACACAGGTCTGCACAGCGAGCACACCTAGCTACGCCGAGCTAGCAGCAAAGAAGTAAGTGAGTCTAAACTAAAGTAAAGAGTAAAGACTAAAGTCTAGAGAGCACGTATCGGAGCTGAGGTCCGTTGCCTGACTTAGATTAGAAGTATTACTATTAGTTAGTTCTGACATGTCACATGACAATCGACATGGCAACAGCGAATCCTAGCGCGACTTGCCGTGCTTTGAATCAGCCACTGAAGACCTGTGAGCGCTTGCAGGTCTCCGATTTTCCAATCGGAGCACGCCCAGGCGTGCTCCGATTCAGCCATCAAAGGCCGCTTTTTTTTTTACCATAAAGGCTATGATGAAAAGGATCTCCAACAAAGCCAACCTCTCGAGATCCTACACAAATCATTGTGTCCGCGCAACAGCAGTGCAGAAGCTTGTGGATGCGGGCGTGTCGGAGACAGCGATCATGGGGACGACGGGACATCGCCAGGTCCAGTCGTTGACCGCATATGCCAACAGGAATTCAGAACAAAAGAGAAAAGAGATGGCTGCAGTTCTGGATGGAGAGTCTCCAACTGCAACCAATGCTGCTACCCGTGCTCTTACAGCGCCAACAACGAGCGTTCAGCGATCACAGCAGCAGACTGAGTTCCACGATCCCGACATTGATGAGTACATCGCAACTTGTGACCCAACAGTGCAATCCCCAACTCACCAACGGTCTCTGATGCAGAAAGCTACGAAGACCATCAACTTTTCCGGAGCTCAGTTTGGTGCAAACTGCAATGTTCACCTGCACCTGTAGGCTGTAGGCTGTAGTCACTGCGAAGAAGAGAAGCTGAACTGACCTGGTTTTTAGCTGACTAGACCGCCCTTGTTTTATCTCTGTGTTGTGACTGTGTACATTAGTCATTATGTAACATGTCTGAAGTACTAAACTGGCGACTAGTTGTGTTCCTTGTCTGGTCTAGTGTGCGTGCCTTGAGTAGGTACTAGGTATGTGTGAAGTACTACATGTAGTAGTACTAGTAGTACGAAGTAGTTCGTGCAATGCATGTCAGAAATGGTATCAAAGCATTCGTACTCGGACTCAAGTGCTAGAATCGGAGCCCTCCGCGCTAGCGCGCGTCGGGCTCCGATTCCGCACTTTCGTCCTCGTACTCATGCTCGATTCCATACTTCGTTAGATCTACGGACTCTACACAGAATCAGTGACTGGGCCATGGCCCGGGTGCAGGTGCAGAAAATCTCTCACATTTGTCACAGACTAGTAGATCTACTACTAGTAGTACTAGTACTACAGTGACAGTATGGCGGTGGGAGTAGAGCAGAGGCTTGTCGTTGTGCCTCCTGCCTTCGACTAGACTATGTCATCCTGAGTATTTACACTGCAAGAGTTTCCTCGGCGAAGCAAGCTAGAATTTATTTGCACAATCTTACTATTTGCCTCTAAGTAACTAGAACATAGTGGTCAGAACAGGCCGGTTATTGGCAAGCGTGGCGCATAGTCCGTAAATAACGTACTTATGAAGGGATGCAGCAGTGCGCTATTTCTACCTTCAATTGCTACATCTGTGGAAGAGGATAATGTTTCTAGCGCGCTCACGGACGTATTCAGCCATAGACTTGGCAGGAAGGTGAGGTTGAAAAATAGCCGTACAAATGCAGAACTAATTACATGGACATGAATGCTGGAAATTTATCACTGAATAAAAATCATGGTCAAGCTACAGTCGTTACCCAAAAAAATCCAGCCAGTGCTATGCTGGCTGTGGATGGTCAGCATGCACTACCAGTGGCACTAGTGTACAAAACATGCGCTGCTGGGTCTCACAACCAACAGCTCAGGTAGTGTACCATGGTGTACGACTGCAGTCAGTGCAGAGTCTGTTCAATGCTGTGCTGTACTGGGCCAGTAAATGCTTGCATGCCATCATGCCAAGCGCTTGGTGGCATGCAAGCACCGCCGGGAACAATTGTGAACGCGTACCATACCACTGTAGCCATGGTATTGGCATTGGCATTGGCCGGATGTTTTTGGCGACGACTGTAGAAGCTGTTGGTACCAGCACTTCCGCTACTGATGCTGCTGCTTTCGCCACCAGCACTGCTGCTACTGCTGCTGTCGCCACCATTACCACTGCTACATGTTAGCAAGAATTTTCCTGAAAACAGCCAGACCGTCGTCACGATACAATCCGACGTCTCTGCCGTGGAATATATTCGCTAATATATTCGCTATCATGGCGATGGGAAAGGCTCCAACAAGCTCACACACTTCAGCTCCATCATAGCTCCCCATTGTCACGTCAAAGTGCTTGTTGTGACTTTACACCCAATGCTTCTCCATGCCAAACAGCAGCGATTGCCTGGCGTGGAATATGATGTCACACTCCTCCTGGGAGATGTCTGTGTAGCGGCGGGCGAATTCAATGGATCTCTGGAGGATGACGTTTGCTTGACATGACTTGCTGGAGCTCGCGTCGCTATAAATTTCTATCCGTATTGTGTGTGGATCATTCTTGTCTGATCCTGCTCCGGCAGTTGACAAGTCTCAGACTCGTTTGGCTCTGCCAAGATCCTGCTCCAGGAGCTGACAAGTCTCTGGTGGATTCTGATGCGGCAGTGTCTATGCGTGTGTGTGTGCGTGTGCGTGTGTGCGCGTACATGTGTGTGTGTGTGTGTGTGTGCCTGTGTGTGTGTGCCTGTGTGTGTGTACCTGTGTGTGTACCTGTGTGTGTGTATGCGTGTGTGTGTGTGTATGTGTGTGTGTATGTGTGTTTGTGTGTGTGTGTGTGTGTGTGCGTGTGTAGCATTATGGTGATAATGCAGATTAATGGGTGCACACAGCTTCGTGCTACCGCTCAAGCTATGCTGCTATGTTTGATAGTGCTGTTACTGTATGCTCATGCTTTGCTACTGTCTACGGTCGCGTGCACTGCATGTCACGGTGACCATGTCGACCAAACAACATTGTGCATGCATGCGTGGTACTCTAGGTGACGTGACATTCTACGTGTCATTGAACGTGACATTCAACGTGTTGGCAACGTGCGGCATGGCATTCAACATGGCATTTATATGGGGCGCTCAACGTGGACGTCATGCGACGTTCGCTCGACGTTTGCTCGACATGACTTGCTGGAGCTCGCGTCGCTATAAATTTCTATCCGTATTGTGTGTGGATCATTCTTGTCTGATCCTGCTCCGGCAGTTGACAAGTCTCAGACTCGTTTGGCTCTGCCAAGATCCTGCTCCGGGAGCTGACAAGTCTCTGGTGGATTCTGATGCGGCAGTGTCTATGCGTGTGTGTGTGCGTGTGCGTGTGTGCGCGTACATGTGTGTGTGTGTGTGTGTGTGTGTGTGTGTGCCTGTGTGTGTGTGCCTGTGTGTGTGTACCTGTGTGTGTACCTGTGTGTGTGTATGCGTGTGTGTGTATATTTGTGTGTGTGTGTATGTGTGTTTGTGTGTGTGTGTGTGTGTGTGTTGTACATCTGCTGCTGTTCTTTAGACTTGGTGTACGGTTGGCTCATCTCATAGTCTAGCTGACATATTTCAATCAGTGCGTTGAAAGAGAACATCTCCTCTCGCTGATGGAGTCCTTCTAGACCAGAGGTAAGCCGCATTGCGAAGTTTAGGTCTTCAGGTTCGTGTGTGTGCGCGCGTGTGTGTGCGCGTGTGTGTGTGTGTGTTTGTGTGTGTGTGTGTGTGTAGCATTATGGTGATAACGCAGATTAATGGGTGCACGCAGGTTCGTGCTACCGCTCAAGCTATGCTGCTATGTTTGATAGTGCTGTTGTGGTATGCTCGTGCTTTGCTACTGTCTACGGTCGTGTGCACTGCACGTCACGGTGACCATGTCGACCAAACAACATTGTGCATGCACCTGTTGTACTCTAGGTGACGTGACACTCTACGTGTCATTCAACGTGACCTTCAACGTGTTGGCGATGTGCGGCGTGGCATTCACCATGGCATTTATATGGGGCGCTCAACGTGGACGTCATGCGACGTTCGCTCGACGTTTGCTCAACGTGACTTGTTAGAGCTCGCGTCGCTATAAATTTCGATCCGTATTGTGTGTGGATCATTCTTGTCTGATCCTGGTCCGGCAGTTGACAAGCCTCAGCCTAGGGAGGGCCCAAATATGCTCAAATTTTTTGCATATTATGCTTTTCGCATATTGGCCACTTGCTTAAAAATATGCTTCGAAATCACACAAAAGCAGAAAAATATGCTTGAAATATGCTCGAAATATGAACTGATATCAGTTATAATTATGCAAATTCTTTGCTCCTTGTAGCAAAATATGCTACATTTGGTACAATATGCTAGATTTGCTACTTTATGCGACCTTGAGTCGCGGACACTCCCTTCTCGGGTCAAATTTTCGCCCAGTGTTTGGATGAGCATTTTTCCTTCCGGGCTAAGTTTGGAAGTGTTCCCTGACCGAGCGTGTGGTAAGTTTCCTTGTCCATTTCCGCAATCTACCCAATAATTATGCGAATTCTTCGCTCCTTGTGGCAAAATATGCTACATTTGGTACAATATGCTAGATTTGCTACTTTATGCGACCTGGTGTCAAAAGTACCAAAATATGCGAAAATATGCACAAGCATATTCGCGCCCTCCCTATCTCAGACTCTTTTGGCTATGCCAAGATCCTGCTCCGGCAGTTGACAAGTCTCTGGTGGATTCTGCTCCGGCAGTGTCTATGCGTGTATGTGTGTGGTTGTGTGTGCGCGTGTGGGGCGCGTACATGTGTGTGTGTGTGCGCGTACATGTGTGTGTGTGCGCGTACATGTGTGTGTGTGTGTGTGTGTGTGTGTGTGTGTGTGTGTGTGTGTGTGGTGCAGTGGTATGTGCAGCGATTTCCAATCGATAGGTTGCGGGTTCGATTCCCGACGATTATGGTCACACACGTCTTTCTTCTCTTTCTCAGACTCTTCCTGACTTTTCTTTCATTCTCCTGGGTGGTTACCAACAGCTAGTGTATGCCGGAGTATGTGGTGTGGTGTGTGTGTAGAAAAGAAAAAAAAAGAAAAAAAGGAAAAAGGAAAAATAGGGATTCACTGGCCAGAAAAAGTCACTTCAAACAGCTGTGTGGTGGATACCAGGCTAAAAATAGTGGCGGTCAATTCATCAGCCTTGCAAGCTGTTGAATGATGTAATCCCAGCACAAGTTGCTATTTCTAACATAGCTGTTCGCTATCATCGCTCCCGCGATGGGCATGTCTGAGGTCTGAGGTCTGAGGTGTGTGTGTTCGGAGTGTTGGACGCCTCTTCAACGGGATTTGCAGCGGCTCTCTGTCTTCCACCACCGATGCATCCGCTCGATCATGGGAGTGTCTCGCCAAGAATGCTGGGATGACTACATCACCAATCACCAACTACGTGTGAGGTGGGGTGATCCCGACACCATCCGCACGAAGGTGGAGCACCGCCGCCTTGAATGGCTCGGGCATGTTGCTCGGATGGAGGACCACCGGCTGCCGAAGCAAGTTCTCTTTGGCACGGTTCCGTCGCGTCGCCCAGCTCATGGCCCTCGTCGGCGCTGGAAGGATTGTATCATGTCTGACCTTCGTTCTCGCGGCCTCGAGGGGGAATGGCGAGCTGAATGCGAGTCGCGTTCCACCTGGCGCTCGGCGTACTCAGCACCGGCAGACGCCCAGCATCCCCCTCCCGTCACCTGCTACACCTGCGACCGACAGTTTGCACGCCCCAGTGATCGCGCACGCCACAAGTGTAAGGCTGAGCGTGCGAAGCCGGTTGCGAAGCAGAAAGGTGCATGCCAGTGTGGAGAGTGTGGACGTTGGCTGAAGTCCCGTGGAGGTCTGGCAAGGCACAAGTGTACTTACCCCCAGTCAGCAGTCAGTGCGCCCCTGCCGCTGCCTGCTTCTCCGCTGTGCTGCGTCGCTCACTGCCAGGCTTGTGACCGCTGCTTTGCGTCTACACGAGGCCGCGCCCGTCATCGCTGCTGACGGACTTGTAGTCGTCCGACCGTTCAGGACCGTCAGGGTTTCACGTGTGTTTGCGCCTGCTCCCGCCGATTTCGCCTACCGCATCACCTGGATCGTCACAGAGCTGTGTGCTCCTCCTCTCTCTCAGCTGCCCCTCCGGGGCCCACGTAACCTTCATGACAGTGGCTCAACAGGACAGGACAGGTGTGTGTGTGTGTGTGTGTGTGTCAGGAAGAGTCTGAGAAAGAGAAGGGTGGTTACCAACAGCCAGTGCATGCCGGAGTATGTGGTGTGATGTGTGTGTGGGAAAAAAAGAAAAAAAAAGAAAAAAGAAAAAGACCAAAAATAGGGATTCACTGGCCAGAAAAAGTCACTTCAAATAGCTGTATGGTGTAGACCAGGCTGAATAGTGACGGTCAATTCCTCAGCCTTGCAAGCTGTTGAATGGTGCAATCCCAGCACAAGTTGCCATGGCTTCTGCCGTAGCATTGCTATCATCGCCTCTGGCGATGGGCGTCAAAGGTCAAAGGTCAAAGGTGTGTGTGTGTGTGTGCATGGGTATGTTTGTGTGTGTGTGTATGTGTGTTTGTGTATTTGTGTGTTATACATCTGCTGCTGTTCTTTAGACTTGGTGTACGGTTGGCTCATCTCATAGTCTAGCTGACATACTTCAATCAGTGCTTTGAAAGAGAACATCCCCTCTCGCAGATAGAGTCCGTCTAGACCAGAGGTAAGCCGCAATGTAAAGTTCGGGTCTGCAGGTGCGTGTGCGTGTGTGTGCGTGTGTGTGTGTGTGATGTGTGTGTGTGTGTGTGTGTGTGTGTGTGTGTGTGTGTGTGCGCGCGCGCGTGTGTGTATGTATGTGTGTGCGTGTATAGCATTATGGTGTTAATGCAGATTAATGGGTGCACGCAGCTTCGTGCTACCGCTCAAACTATGCTGCTATGTTTGATAGTGCTGTTGCTGTATACTCATGCTTTGCTACTGTCTACGGTCGTGTGCACTGCATGTCACGGTGACCATGTCGACCAAACAACATTGTGCGTGCACGCGTGGTACTCTAGGTGACGTGACACTCTACGTGACATTGAACGTGACATTCAACTTGTTGGCGATGTGCGACGTGGCATTCACCATGGCATTTATATGGGGCGCTCAACATGGGCGTCATGCTACGTTCGCTCGATGTTTGCTCGACGTGACTTGCTAGAGCTCGCGTCGCTATAAATTTCTATCCGTATTGTGTGTGGATCATTCTTGTCTGATCCTGCTCCGGCAGTTGGCAAGTCTCGGACTCTTTTGGCTCTGCCAAGATCCTGCTCCGGCAGTTGACACGTCTCTGGTAGATTCTGCTCCGGCAATGTCTATGCACGTGTGTGTGTGTGTGTGTGTGTGTGTGTGCGTGTGTGTGTGTGAACGACACAAATGTTCTGCTGATCGCCAGCTGCCTGTAGCGGAACAGCTGGACGCACGTCAATGCCATGCCTGCCTTCGGTGGTTCCGAAGTGCCGGTGGACTTGCTGTGCACAAGTGCACGACACCCGCCCTGGCATCACCACCCACACCCCAGCGCATACCAATCACCAGCCATCCGTGGTGCAACCAGCACTGCGCTACCTGTGATCGCGCTACCTGTGATCGTCTCCACATGTCACTTCCAACGTACCTCTCAACAACATGACCCAGCTGTGATGTGAGTGGTCGCATTGATTTGATTGTTGGTTTGCTTGTAGGCCGCTGGCACCCGCATTCAGTGACGCCGAAAATTTGGCACTGCTGTGAATAGTTTAGTCGCAAAGTGAAGAATCACGGGCAAAAAGACCCAAAACTTCGAGGTAGGTTAATTTCAGCTTTGAGCAGCCCTGGGCGAAGTGTTTATTGAAATGGGGAACTTTTTCTTGGTGCACTTCCCAATGTCCAGCTATGCAACCAGACCAGGGTGGCGATGGTCAGTTCTTGAGCTTCGAAGGGGCAGAAAGGTGAGAAATTGTCGCTTTTTGACCATTTGTGCCCACGTGTCACTTTCAACGTACCTCTCTATAACATGACCCATCTGTGATGTGAGTGGTCGCATTGATTTGATTTTTGGTTTGCTTGTAGGCCGCTAGCACCCACATTATGTAACGCCAAAAATTTGGGACTGCTGTGAATAGTTTAGTCGCAAAGTGAAGAATCACGGGCAAAAGGGCCCAAAACTTCGAGATAGGTTGATTTCAGCTTTGAGCAGACCTGGGCGAGTTGTTTATTGAAATTTGGAATTTTTTCTTGGTGTACTTCCCTATGTCCAGCTATACAACAAGATCTGGGTGGCGATGGTCAGTTCTTGAGCCTCGAACGGGCATTGAGGTGAGAAATTGTCGCTTTTTCACCATTTGTGCACACGTGTCACTTTCAACGTACCTTTGTATAATATGACCCATCTGTGATGTGAGTGGTCGCATTGATTTGATTTTTGGTTTGCTTGTAAGCCGCTGGCACCCGCATTCAGTGACGCCGAAAATTTCGCACTGCTGTGAATAGTTTAGTCGCAAAATGAAGAATCACGGGCTAAAGGGCCCATAATTTCGAGATAGATTAACTTCAGCTTTGAGCAGCCCTGGTCGAAGTGTTTATTGCAATGTGGAATTTTTTCTTGGTGCACTTCCCTATGTCCAGCTATGCAACAAGATCAGGGTGGCGATGGTCAGTACTTGAGCTTCGAACGGGCATTAAGGTGAGAAATTGTCGCTTTTTGACCATTTGTGCCACGTGTCACTTCCAACGTACCTCTCTATAACATGACCCAGCTGTGATGTCAGTGGTCGCATTGATTTGATTTTTGGTTTGCTTGTAGGCCGCTGGCACCCGCATTCAGTGACACCTAAAATTTGGCACTGCTGTGAATAGTTTAGTCGCAAAATGAAGAATCACGGGCAAAAAAGCCCAAACCTTCGAGATAGGTTGATTTCAGCTTTGAGCAGCCCTGGGCGAAGTGTTTATTGAAATGTGGAAATTTCTCTTGGTGCACTTCCCTATGTCCAGCTATGCAACAAGATCAGGGTGGCGATGGTCAGTTCTTGAGCTTCGAACGGGCAGAAAGGTGAGAAATTGTCGCTTTTTGACCATTTGTGCCCACGTGTCACTTCCAACGTACCTCTCTATAACATGACCCAGCTGTGATGTCAGTGGTCGCATTGATTTGATTTTTGGTTTGCTTGTAGGCCGCTGGCACCCGCATTCAGTGACACCTAAAATTTGGCACTGCTGTGAATAGTTTAGTCGCAAAATGAAGAATCACGGGCAAAAAAGCCCAAACCTTCGAGATAGGTTGATTTCAGCTTTGAGCAGCCCTGGGCGAAGTGTTTATTGAAATGTGGAAATTTCTCTTGGTGCACTTCCCTATGTCCAGCTATGCAACAAGATCAGGGTGGCGATGGTCAGTTCTTGAGCTTCGAACGGGCAGAAAGGTGAGAAATTGTCGCTTTTTGACCATTTGTGCCCACGTGTAACTTTCAACGTACCTCTGTATAACACGACCCAGCTGTGATGTGAGTGGTCGCATTGATTTGATTTTTGGTTTGGTAATAGGCCGCTGGCACCCGCATTCAGTGACGACGGAAATTTGGCACTGCTGTGAATAGCTAAGTCAGAAAATGAAGAATCACGGGCTAAAGGGCCCATAACTTCGAGATAGATTGATTTCAGCTTTTGAGCAGCCCTGGTCGAAGTGTATATTGAAATGTGGAATTGTCGCTTTTTGACCATTTGTGCCCACGTGTCACTTTCAACGTACCTCTCTATAACATGACCCAGCTGTGATGTGAGTGGTCGCATTGATTTGATTTTTGGTTTGCTTGTAGGCCACTGGCACCTGCATTTGGTGACACCTAAAATTTGGCACTCCTGTGAATAGTTTAGTCGCAAAGTGAAGAATCACGTGCAAAAAGCCCAAAACTTCGAAATAGTGTATTTTCAGCATTCAGCAGCCCTGGGCGAGTTATTTTATTGAAATGTGGAATTTTTTCTTGGTGCACTTCCCTATGTCCAGCTATACAACAAGATCAGGGTGGCGATGGTCAGTTCTTGAGCTTCGAACGGGCAGAAAGGTGAGAAATTGTCGCTTTTTGACCATTTGCGCCCACGTGTCACTTTCAACGTACCTCTCTATAACATGGCCCAGCTGCAATATGAGTGGTCGCATTGATTTGATTTTTGGTTTGCTAGTGGGCCGCTGGAACCTGCATTCAGTGACGCCGAAAATTTGGCACTGCTGAGAATAGTGTAGTCGCAAAGTGAAGAATCACGGGCAAAAGGCCCAAAACTGGGACATAGGTTCTTTTCAGCATTCAGCAGCCCTGGCCGAGTTGTTTATTGAAATGTAGCATTTTTTCTTGGTGCGCTTCCCTATGTCCAGCTATACAGCAAGATCAGGGTGGCGATGGTCAGTTCTTGAGCTTCTAACGTGCAGAAAGGTGAGAAATTGTCGCTTTTTGACCATTTGCGCCCACGTGTCACTTTCAACGTACCTCTCTATAACATGACCCAGCTGTAATTTTTTTCCACGTCGCATTGATTTGATTTTTGGTTTGCTAGTGGGCCGCTGGCACCCGCATTCAGTGACGCCAAAAATTTGGGACTGCTGTGAATAGTTTAGTCACAAAGTGAAGAATCACTGGCAAAAAGGCCCAAAACTGGGACATAGGTTCTTTTCAGCAATCAGCAGCCCTAGCCGAGTTGTTTATTGAAATGTAGCATTTTTTCTTGGTGCACTTCTCTATGTCCAGCTATACAACAAGATCAGGGTGGCGCTGGTTAGTTCTTGAGCTTCTAACGGGCAGAAAGGTGAGAAATTGTCGCTTTTGGACCATTTGCGCCCACGTGTCACTTTCAACGTACCTCTCTATAACATGACCCAGCTGTAATATGAGTGGTCGCATTGATTTGATTTTTGGTTTGCTAGTGGGCCGCTGGCACCCGCATTCAGTGACGCCGAAAATGTGGCACTGCTGTGAATAGTTTAGTCGCAAAGTGAAGAATCACTGGCAAAAAGGCCCAAAACTGGGACATAGGTTCTTTTCAACATTCAGCAGCCCTGGCCGAGTTGTTTATTGAAATGTGGAATTTTTTCTTGGTGCACTTCCCTATGTCCAGCTATACGACAAGATCAGGGTGGTGATGGTCAGTTCTTGAGTTTCGAACGGGCAGAGAGGGGAGAAATTGTCGCTTTTTGACCATTTGTGCCCACGTGTCACTTTCAATGTAGTATGTAGCTCTCTATAACATGACCCAGCTGTAATTTTTTCCCAGTCGCATTGATTTGTTTTTTGGTTTGCTTGTAGGGCGCCATCACCCACATTCAGCTTAATTTTCCGCTTTCAGCAGCCCTGGGCGAGTTCTTTAGAGAAATGTGGCTCTTTTTCTTGGTGCGCTTGCCTATGTCCAGCTATACAATGAGATGAGGCGGGTCATTGTCTGTTTCTGAGCTGCATACCATTACACTCAAGTGAGAAGATATATGAAGATATGCAAATGATATACATGTACTCGTAGTAATCATGTCCTTGCCACTCTCCGTGACATCACAAGATATCCCGGGAAGTGATAGTGATGTCATGGATGTGTGTATAGTATTGTATACAACACAATCCCATATCATGGTGAATGATCTCAGTGTGTGGTATCCGCACATGCTGGTCAGGAACTGAGAATATAGTATGTCAGTATTGATGCAATGCAATTGGAACTTGACTTGATAATGCATGCGAGTTATCTTCAATTCTACTCTTGATATCCAGCACAGTGTTAAGAAAAATGAACGTGTTTGTCCCATGCAGGGACAGGGAGTGACACAAACGTTCACTATTTTCTGTCTTGATAACAATTAATATATTGGGCATTCTTAGATTCAAGCCTGGCTATTTATGAGGACGCAGTTTGTCCCGACTGAGTACATGTATCATATCCGTGCTATTTTTTTCACCTTCTCCTTTTCATTCCCTTCATTAAATACATGTAGGTCGATTTTAGATGAGGTATTCAGCATGCTGCCAGTTTGGAGAGAAATTCAGTTCTACATTAATCTAACTAAGTCTTAATATCTCACACACTCACATTTGGCATTTGCTTGGACTTCCGTACACTGTTCATTCGTATTATCATTATTGTTTGCATCCTCATATTAATGCTGGATGCTGAGTCCTGAGTTCTGCTTATGCTGCATGGCTTTGATGAGAGGAGCCATAGGAGTAAACATCCGCACAGTTCACTGATTACCTGTGTGTTAGAGTGGATTCACCTTTCTTATCCTGAACTTTTGTGTGTGTGTGTGTGTGTGTGTGTGTGTATGTGTATGTGTGTGTGTTTGTATGTGTGTGCAGCCCTGCAAGCTGTTGAATGGTGCAATCCCAGCACAAGCTGCTCTGGCTTCTGCTGTAGCATCGCTATCATCGCCTTCGGCGATGGGCGTCAAATGGTCAAATGGTGTGTGTTTGTGTGTGTGCGTGTGTGCACATTCTTGGGTGCGTGCGTGCATCCATCCGCGCATGCATGTGTCAGACCCCAGACCCAGTCACCAGGTCACCATTGCCATTGCCACTGGCCACGGCGATCACTGCACTGCGGAAGCGTGCAGGAGATCACCGATAGTAAAGCAATGTCATGGTAAAATGGACGTACATGACTTGTTACCTGTCAGTGGTAGGTCTATATGGTGGCCAAACTCACTTCCGGTCTTTGCAGAACTCAGTTGTCTACCGGATGCCATGGGCAGCAACGGCCCTCTACAAACGAGTGGCCTCTCTGTTGGCGGCGGAAAGAGGGGAGCAGTACTCTCATGTGATGGCTTTCATCAGGTGCAGGATCGCTTTTTCCCTCTTGCGGTCCTGCATCATGTGCCTCCGAGGGTGCAGAATGCTCTCTAGTCAGTCTGCCTTGGCTGTGGGTGATACTTCTGCTGCGCTGGCAGTGGTGGAGGCCCGGGTACCGGCTTAGCGTGCACGAACGGTAACATTGACTGGAATATTGACTTGAAGTTGTTACTTGCTGCTGTTTACCTAATTAGGTAAACAGCAGCAAGTAACCTACTTAGCTAAGTAGGTATATACATTATTATGCTGTTTTTTTGCGTGTTTTTTCCTTCTTTTTTCTTTCTAGAACTTTGAGTGGACCGTATGCGTGTTAAAACAAAATGGCGTCACGATTAATTTATTGAAAGTGGTATAGTTGGTGGTACGAGTGTTCAAACCCATTTGAACTTCATACTGTTCGTCTTCTTTTTGACATGCTCTCTTTCCATCGTCCTTAGCTTTTGTTTGTTGAGAGCTGTTTTGGCCTTCTCCTATACCTCTGGGGGATGCCAAGTGATGGTTTTGAGAGGCTGGTGATGGCTGTGAGCGAGAGTTTGCCGATCGGCGTCGTCCTCGCTATAGCGATGAAAACACTAGTTACTGCGCACCTGGCAGATATCACAACACGTCGGAGCGTCCAGGAGCAAATGAATCTTGGGTTTTCACTGGAATCTAGTTCCTCCAGCATCATGTAGCCCACCGTCGGTGAATGGCCGTCCAGAAAGGTCGAACCTGGTATTCTGCAGCATCTCGCAGTCCTGCGAGGCACACTGAATACGCCTGCCATGTATTCTACAAATAAAAATCACGAAGTAGTGGACTTTATAGTGATGAGTCTATCCTGTATGCTGCAAAAGACGCAGGAAATGTGACTGGTGTCCGTACACTGGACGCCAATCTCATCCCAGTCTTCTCCTGCAGGATCTGTTTGACATTGACATACCGGTATGCAGTGGGTCGACATTGGCCTGGTTTGGCAGCTATCTGCCTGGGTGGATGTAGCAGGTTTGCATTGGCGCGTCGTCCAGTCCGACATTTTCTTGTAACTGTGGAGTACCGGCAGGGTTTGAGAGGTTGCTCGTGCTGTGAACACATCTGCCTGTCTCGTCCTGGAAGTGCCGTCTCGCCGCTTCCTTGCTCTACAGTCACGCCGTTATTTCGCTTTGTTTCGTGGTGCAGCTGAAAACCTGCCCAAACAACTGTGAGCTCCCAACATGGTATGGACAAATTGCACCACTCATGCTGGTTAACTAAAACCGGGATAGTCGAGTAAGCGAGTTCACTCCCTGGGCCTTGGCAAGATCTTTTCAGCGCGGGCTATTCCAACCTCCAAGTGCATAGTCACCGATCGATCCATGCGATGGTGGTTGACCTACAAAGAGCCAAGGTCTACGATTACTACTATTGGATGCTGTCTACATGCAGTAAACAAAATCAAAGTACCTCAGTTTGCCCCAGAATAGGGCATGTGCATCTATAGCATGACACAACAGGGGTTCTGGCGGCACCTGTCAAACAAGCAGTAGGACTAGTGCCAGCTACCTATTGGAGGCTAGCCGCTACAGTCTGTCACTGGAGATAATTATTATGTTCACTGTTTAGACTCAGAGCACAATCAATGATGCCCAATCAATCTGCCCAATGTGTGTTCTGTTCCACCTAATTATAACGTCCCATCGCATCAACCCTACTACACGCACATGTCGTCACTGTAGCATGACTTGTGTTATTATTGTTTATTTTGTTTCGCACGATAAATAGAGCACAATAAACGTTAACTCAAGTTGACCGAAGGATAAAGGCGACTGCAGATAGAGGAACACATCGAGGTACAGGTACCGGCATCAATACAGTATCAGAGAGAAACAAACAAAAATGAGAGGTACGCAGAAAAAAACTCTCGTAAGCCCAAGGGGAAGTGGTTGATGAGGGATGAATGCACTCTCCACGCCCATCTACACTGTTCGTGGAAATGCACACATACATACAATAATATACAACATAGCAATAGCATGCACAGAACCGAACAATTTCATGTTCACACATGCAAGCACAGACCTGAACATTAGTACCAAAAGCCGATACAGACAATATCCCCATACACACAGACGCACACACACACACACCCACACACACACACAATGTCCCATGTATGCGCCCGTGGCGAGAAAAGCACGCAAATCTACAAATGCACTGGATGTGAACCCACAGATTTTCTCTTATAGCAACGATAGCGGATCTGATTCTGAATGAAACACACACACAAAACAATCATTGAATGCCCATCCGCAGATGATGGCAGGTCCTGAAAGAACAGGCAGTGTTCCAGTAATGGGGAACAGAACTTCGAGTGGCGAGTGAGGTATACACACACACGTGCGTGCGCGGGCACACACTAAAGTATTCAGAAATAGAATCGACATTGTAGTATTCATTGGTTGGGGAATGGAAAGGAAAATAAAACATTGCTGTAGGTTATTGTTGTAAGGACACTGGGAGCACAACAGAAAGGTAAGCAACTTGCTTTGAAGCAAAGAAAATTATTATTCCACGGATCTCAGAAGGAAGGAACGTTCCAGAATGCTGCACTGGCAACAGGCGGCCTGCATGTGCGCGGCCCCTGCAGTCGGTCCAGCTGCCGGCCTTGCAGTGCTGAAAAGAATGTGCAGTACAGCATGTCACATAGTATCGCAGCCTGGACAAATAGGCGCTGGGAAGTCCTAGTTATGTGCTCACCTACACCACGACGCACCAATCTTCTGAGCTACTTTGGCAAAAACTTTGTCCACTTGAGACTCCCATGGGCTGAGGCAGTTGTTCAGGGCTGCACCAAGGTGGACGGCAATGACCGCTGATGGCAAGGCAATCCATGACACACAGTCACTAGGGCATCGTCAACATGGCGCTGAGGCTGGATCGATAAAATCAACCTTTAGGTTGTCGCGGGGTTGACAACGAGGCCACTGTCTCGAAGCCAGTCAATCAGCCTGGTCACCGCCATGGACGAACCAGTCGCCACCGCCAGCAGTGGCGGTAGGTTGTGACAAGTGTGGTGCAATATTGTCAGCAAATTCAGTACTTAGGATAAGATGAGTGACAAAGGGAACGTTGTGTTTGATAATATTGAAGTGAACAGGGATGATCACAAACCCTGCGCGTACTCCACCGTGAGTTACAAGAAAATTCCGGACTGGACGACGAGCAAACGCCAACCTGCTACATCCAACCAGGCAGATACTATTACGATAGCTGCCAAACCAGATCAATGCCGACCTACTGCATAATGTCAATGTCAAACAGATCCTGCAGGAGAAGACTGGGGTGTTGGCGTCTAGTCACTGAGTGTACAGACACCAGTCACATTTCTTGTGTCTTTTGCAGCATACAGGCTGAGACTCATCACTGTAGAGTCCACTACTGCATGAGTTTTATTTGTACAATACATGGCAGGCGTAAACGGTGTGCCTCGCAGGACTGCGAGGTGCTGCAGAAGACCAGGTTCGACCTTTCTGGACCGCCATTCACCAACGGTGGGCTACACGATGATAGGAGGAACTAGATTCCAGTGAAAACTCAAGATTCCTTTGCTCCTGGACGCTCCGACGTGTTGTGATATCTGCCAGGTGCGCAGTAACTAGTATTTTCATCGCTACAGCGAGGACGACGCCGATCAGCAAACTCTCGCTCACAGCCATCACCAGCCTCTCAAAACCATCACTTGGCATCCCCCAGAGGTACAGGAGAAAGCCAAAACAGCTCACAACAAACAAAAGCTAAGGACGATGGAAAGAGAGCATGTCAAAAAGAAGACGAACAGTATGAAGTTCAAATGGTTTTGAACACTCGTACCACCAACTATACCACTTTCAATAAATCGTGACGCCATTTTGTTTTAACATGAATATCGCGGTTTGAAGTTTTCGGAACATTTGGGAAAAAATATTCATTGTGTTTATTTTGCCCGTAAAAGAGGCTGTGATCTACACTAGATAGCGCTGCGAGTAGAACTACCAATGCCTGGAGAAGATCCACATCTACATGATCTGGCCACGCGCACTGACCTCGCAGCACTCACAGTACACATGGTACAGAGTCAGTGGCAGCAAGGAAACACACTGGCGCGCAAAACCTTCCCATGCAGCTGCATCATGTATGATCATGATGATGGTATTCCCGCGTTGCACAGCTAGCTAGCCTACACTACACAGTCTACCGTACAGTCAGGATATGCAGATCGTCCGTATTTCTGTAGATGCAGAAATCTCTCGCAGACTGACTGTGGAGGAAGGAGTAGAGGCGATGCCTGCAATCACTATAATTGTCGTTGTGTGTCCTATCTCCAACCAGACTAGATCATCCTGTGTATCTACACAACACGTGTTGTCCCCGTAGCGCAAGTTAGAATATTTGCACAATCTTACTATTTGCCTCAGAATCTAACTTCTATGGGAATAGAACGATAGTGTCAGAGCAGGATAGTTTGTGGCAGTTTGTAGCAAGCGGCGCACATGGTCCGTAAATAGCTTAGCTACGAAGGGAATGCAGCAGCTGCCAATTATTTCTACGTTACACTGCCACCCACAACCGTTCAAGGTGAGAGAGATATTTCCCGTCTGCTCCTTATCGACTCGGACTTGGGAGAAATGGGAGGTGGAAGAATAGCCGTGCAAGTACAGCACTGGGCATGCCGCTAATATCAATAATTCTATTACACATTGTATATACATAGGAATCATTATCGCCTTCTTAGGATTTGACCCCACTGATTTCCCTGATACCTAAGCGGTCAAATACCGGTATATGGCATATTGGACTGCTTAGTCAAATACCGGTATATGGCATATTGGACTGCTTAGTCAAATACGCAGTTATACTAGACTGTTAATAGTTGACTGCTTAGAACAACAAGGCAAGTACAAGTGAAAGCAGGTAGGGGTAGGTACGCGTTTTTCGAGCTCCAGTTTTTTTCACATCGTCTCGGACAGCCCAGCCGGCATTAGGCCGGACTGGTGGCAGGCAGGTAGCAGTGGTTTCAGTGTAGCGTAGTGTAGTTGTAGCTTGGTAGCCAGGTTGCGACAAGGAGCAATCTGTCGCCATGGGCGAGCTCTCAAGCGCGGAGCAGGTAGAGGTACTCAGTAGTATTCCCGGGATCCACCACAATGTGATCAGTATGGTAGAAAATCTGGCTGCGTTCGTTAGTGAGTCAAGGGACAATGAAGCCCGCCTCCGGCGGAGACTAGACGATCTCTCAAACCTTGTCATTGAGCTAAGGCAAGAGGTAACATCATTGAAGGAGTCCGCCATTACGGCAAAGGCCAACAACGGCAAGAAAACGACCAAGGAGAGTTCAAAAGCTCATGTACGGGATGACCGCGCATCCGTGACCCCCTGTACACGTACAGACCGACTTTCTGTGAGCTCGGTTCACGAACCGACCCCACAGTCCGACAGTCCAAAGCCCATTGCTCGAGCACGTGTACCAGAGGTGCATCGTGATGAAAGATCGGCAAATTCAAACCTGCTGCCCAGCTTTGAAGACGACAACGAGGACAGTGGACTTTGGGAGCTAGTTTGCAGCACAAAGCCCACGGGAAAGCGGAAAGTACTGTTTGTGGGGAACTTACCGAGTGACACGACTACGGAGAAACTCAGTCAGTTCGTCACCACCCGAGCAAGCTCAGGCGAAACTCAAGTCAAAATCCACGAGTGCAAGATCTTCCGGAAGGAAGCCAGATCCTCCGCACGACTCGTACTCAACTCGAAAACGGCTGCGCTGGTCAACTCCAAGGGATTCTGGCCGCGACCTGTATACTCACGCCAGTGGAATTTTGAGAAGTACCAGCACCTGTCCGACAAGCAATCTCCAGACGATCAACACATGAGCGCGTCCGACCAGGAGCCAGTGATAGACATGGATGCCCAGTCTCAGATTCCCCCTCCGCCACCGCTACACCCTCTTCCAGGAAGCAACTAAGCCACAAACAAATATGTCAAGTCTATCGATCTTTCTGACCAATGCATTCGGTCTCCAGTCCAAGTTCGGTGAGCTACAACATGCCCTCCGTCAGCAGACTGTAGACATTGCCATAGTAACTGAGACAAAACTCACTGCCGAGAAAATGTCTCCAGCTGAAACACTAATACCCGGATACTGCCCCGCAGTACGCAAGGACCGCACTGCACATGGAGGCGGTGTTGCTGTATGGCTAAAAGCAGGTCTGTGCTTTCGTCACCTTGACACCGTGCCATGTCATGACTTTGAAGTCATCTGGCTTCTTATTGAAACGTGTGATCATCATAAAATTGTATTCTGCGCCCTCTACCGGTCTGGGAGCTCCAGTGAGTCAGATATCAGTCTTATTGAGTATCTTGAGGAGACCTTGCTCGCTGTCCGGCACCTCGGTGACTATGTTCTGATCACGGGTGACTTCAATGTCCACAACACCGCTTGGCTGGGCAGCACCAAGACCACTGTTGCTGGGGAAGCCTTAGAGGACTTGTGCGCCTCGCACTACCTCACCCAACATGTCTCCGAACCAACCCGCAAGAACAACACACTGGACTTAGTTATATCTGACCTCCCAGGTGCAGCATCTGTCACCACTGGTCCGCCGCTTGGACGCTCAGACCATGTCACTATCTTAACGGAGTTCAAGACCGTACGTCCCCGCAAGGAGCAACCGGCCCTAAGAATCGTCTGGCAGTATGCTAGAGCAGACTGGGGAAGGATGCGCGCACATCTTAGCCGCATTAACTGGCCAACTGTCCTATCAAATGACCCTGACGCTGCTTGTGAAGCCCTCACAGGAATTGTGCGTGATGCCATGTCTCAGTTTATTCCCTCCAAGACCATTAAAGTAATGGCCACTGACCCGGTCTGGTGGACACCTGCCTGCCAACAAGCGGTGCACCTAAAGCAACAAGCCTGGAGAGTTTGGAGGCAAGACCCCGATAGCTTGCAACAGAAAGAAACCTTCCTGGCATCCGTTACACATTGTGTGCATGTTCTGCAACATGCCCAACGGCAATGCAAAGAGCGAGCTTCTAGAAAGCTGTCATCTGGCTCCTTGCAAGACAAGCAATGGTGGACAGCTACTAAGCGAGCTGCTGGTGTTAGCCGCCAAAGCGATATACCTGTCCTGGTCGACAGATCTGGACACGAGCACACCACTGCTAGGGAGAAAGCCGAGTGCTTTGCCCAATACTTTGCCATGAAGTGCAGCCTCGGCTCCAACGATTTCTCTGCCTCTGATCACCTCCCTGCTATGCAACTTGATGCCACAGCACCTCAGATCACAGCCATCCACTTTCGTCCAGCCAATGTCCGTCGTCAACTAGCGGCGCTAAATCCGCACAAGGCCACTGGCCCCGATGGCATATCAGCTAGAGTCCTCAAGGAATGCCACAGGGAGCTGGCGGAGCCTGCTGCTCGCTTGTTCTCTTGCTGCTTCAGAGCAGGGGTCCAGCCAGCTTCCTGGAAACTAGCCCATGTGTCCCCCATACACAAGAAGTCCTCCAAGTAA